AAAGAAATTGGGGGAAATTCTTAGAATAGGTACACAGAAAACAGTGCAAAGGAAAAAGACAATTATTAACTCAGAAGAAAGTCATGTAAGTGGGGCACCTGGCTGGCTCAGTCAGTACAGTGTGTGACTCCTGATCTTGGAGTTATACATTCAAGCTGGGTATAAAGTAATTACTTAAAAATAATCTTTAAAAAAGTTATATAAGAAAGGGAAACACTGTGAACAAAATGTATATGACCATACCAGTCAATACACCAAGTACTGCTTTAGCTAAAAATTGTGAAATATCACTATTAGGAGGTTTGGTGAGAGGAAGTGATAGCAGTTAATATATAAAATTTTTACTGGAGGGGCTCCTGGGTAGCTCAGTTGTTAACTGTCTGCCTTCGGCTCAGGTCATGATCCCAGGGTTCTGGGATCAAGCCCTGCTTTGCGGGAAGCCTGCTTCTCCCTCTCCCACTCGCCCTTCCTGTGTTCCTTCTGTCACTGTCTCTCTCTCTCTGTCAAATAAATAAATAAAGTCTTAAAAATAAGTAAATAAAATAAAATTTTTCTGGAAATACCAATAATATAAAACACTTTGTTTGAAATAGGCAGTAAATCTCATGAAAAACGGATGAGTGAGTTAAAAGTGGTTGTCTCTGGAAAAGAAAACTGGGGATGTTGAGGCGAAAGGCAAGGGTCTGTCGCTTTTCATTATAAACTTTTTAGCCCTATTTAATTTTTTAGCTATAAGTATGCATTGCTTTGTTTATATTTTTAGAGAATTGAAAATTGGATAGCTTTTTACCATGTGATTTATTATTATGTAACTCCATGTCAATATCTAAAACCATCTTTTTAAAAAGATTTTATTTATTTGAGAGAGAGAGAGAGAAAGCACGCACTAGTGGGGTAGGGGCAGAGAGACAAGCAGACTCCCCACTGAGTGTGGAGCCTGACTTGGGGCTCGATCCCAGGACCCTGAGGTCATGACCTGAGCTAAAGGCAGATGCTTAACCAACTGAGCCACCCAGGGAGCCCAATATGTAATACTATCTTAAGTCATCTTAGCTTCCACTAAGGAGTTGGAGGCCTCACACACTCTATAGAACATTTATGAATGGCTAGAGTTTCATAAAGAAGTGAAAAAGATGACCAGAAGTATGGTGTTAGGGAATATGACTGTCTTTTATGGGTGTGGCTGTCGCATGACTCCTCTGAGACCTCCAGCTGGCCCCCATACTGCACTACTGGCCCCCTGTCAGGTGGTTTCCAGCCCCCAGCACTCCTCACAGCCTGAGCATCTCCCTCCTGTCGCAGTGGTCAAGACTTTGGGCCTTGTTTTCTTTTTTTTTTTTTTTAAAGATTTTATTTATTTATTTGACAGAGAGAAATCACAAGTAGGCAGAGAAGCAGGCAGAGAGAGAGGAGAAAGCAGGCTCCCTGCTGAGCAGAAAGCCCGATGTGGGGCTCGAACCCAGGACCTGGGATCATGACCTGAGCCGAAGGCAGCGGCTTAACCCACTGAGCCACCCAGGCACCCCTGGGCCTTGTTTTCTTATTGAAACTCCTGTCTTCCTCTACATTTGAACCTGTCTTCTTTTTTTCAACTCTGAGCTTTGTTTTTCTCCCTGACTACGATTTCTTCCTATTTGCTATTGAATTCTGCCTCAGAAGTGCTATTTGGCTACGTGGAACAGGACCAGATATAGTGGCTTCATCAGCTAGCAGAGGACTGAGCCAGTGTAGACCCATCCCGGCATCATGCCTTTCTCTTTCTCCACCATCAGCCTTAGCAGATGGTTTATATCCTCATAGCTGTAGGTGGCTGCTTCACTGCGAGACTCCCGTCTTCATTCCAGACCAGAAGAAGGAAGGGACAAGGAGAAAGTACTGGTACCTCTATGAGGAAGTCTCAGAAATCACCCAGCACACTTGTGCTTATTTCCAGCTGGTCAGAAGCACGTCACATACCCATCCCTAATTTTTAGCTTGGCACATTGCTACCCTAAGAAAAATCTGAGCTCTGTTAGAAAATAAGTTCAGAAAAGGTATTAGTCAGGGAACTACAAGTTTTTGGCTCAAGCTCCTTTAGATTATGATCAATAGGTCAGCTGGTCTACACCAGACCTGGTCAAAGGCCTTTGAAGCCAGTGACCCCTCCAAAGTGGCCCAAGTGAGACCCCAGGGTCTTTATTAGACATTCCACATGCCCCTCAAGTCACCTAGCAGACCTGCATCTGTATAACCTTCTGCTCTATAAGGAATCAAGGAAGACAGTGGGGCAAAATTAGACCCAGGAAACATGAGTGCTTCTCGATCTAGGCACAGCCCTGGGAGACTATTGCCTTAAATTTTATTATGGCCTGGCCCTACCCTGAAGTATCAGAGCAATGTTCCCCCCACAACCACACCTTTTTTTGTGATGACCCACAGGAATGACCCATGGACTAGAATGATCACACCAAGTACCAGTAAGTACTGCTCACCGGAGGAAAACATCCAAATAGCGCTTATCTTCCAGGCACATATGTACCACCCAAGTCCTCAGTGACACAGTTTCTGGCCCTTTCTAAGTCCTGAAATTATGAGCTGTATTGTCTTATACCTCCAGGTCACTTACCCATTTTCATCCATCTTACACTCCGCTACCCTTTACTGTGCCCAGCCTGATTTTTTCCCCACATCCTTACAACCATTTTCATGTTTCAACTTCAACTGACCCTTTGGAGGGTCAGGCAGTACTATTTTTAAATATTTATTTATAGTACATGCAGTACTATTTTTAAGGTTCTTATTTTTCCTCTCCACCATATTTCCTACTTACCTTCCCTCTTCTGGCTTCTTCCTGGTGTATCCTGACCCCCAGAAACTACAGCCTGGGGCCTCTGGGGCCCTGTAAGCAGGACCTGGCCATCTGGCTAGATGAGAAACAGGAAGGGGGAGAAGGGCAAGTGCCATGGGAAATAACAGAAGGATGGGTTGACACAGGCTCTTTGAATGGCATGCTAGGTATTTGAGTCTTATTATTCTGATCCCAATTTTGATGTGTGGGAGTAGGTTTCCCACACACCACCAAGCAATTCCCAAATACTAGCTGGGTGGCCTACAGTTCAACTCCATTCTGACCCTACCTACCGGGAGCTTAGCATCAGATTCCACAGGTTAAGGGCTCAGTCCCACAAGACTGTCCCCTCCCTACCTCCACCACGTCGGACGTCAATAGCAAGTCCATATTGTTACCTGGGCTTCTGACTGACTGACCATAAAGCTGAGGTTCTCATGAACCCCTCCTTGGGTTTGATTAATTGGCTAGAACGGCTAATATGACCCAGGAAACCAGTTTATTCATGACTGCTGGGTTATCATAAAGGATACAAATCAATAGCCAGATGAAGAGATACAGAGGGTGAGGTCTTGAACAAAGCAGCACTGTCCTCATGGAGTTTGGAGCCCAGCATGGTGGCACGTGGAAGCATTCTGGTTTCCCAACCTGGAAGCTCTTAGAATCCCATCCTTCAGATTTTTATGGAGGCTTTATTACTTAGGCATGGTTGATTAAATCATTGGCCAGTGGTGATTGATTCAACCTCCAGGCCCTTTCCCCTCCCCGGAGAATCAGGGTTAGAGAAAGCTCTAACATTCCCTCTATGGTTGGTTCCCCTGGCAACCAGCCCCATCCTTAGGTGCTGTCCAAAAGTCTCCTCATTAACATAAACTCAGGTGTGGTGGAAAGGGGCTTGTTATGAATTACGAGGCACCCATTTCACCTTTACCACTCTAAGGCGTTTTAAGGAACTGAGAACAAGGGACCAAATATTATATTTAAGTTTTCTTTTTTAAAAAAATCCAGTGGAGTTAACATGGAGTGTTCTATTAGCTTCAAGTGTACATTACTCAGTGTTCATTGTGGTAAGTATACTCTAAACCCCATCACCTGTTTTACCCATCCCCCACACACACCTAAGAGACCAAAAGATGCTCCCATTTCTCTTATTGGTCAGGAAATTCCAAAGGTGTGGGAGCCAGGAACCCTGGACAAAGACCAAATATATATGGGAAATCTGAATAATCCAAATATATATTTCCTAGAAATCATAATATTGCTGGATTGTATTGGAAAATCAATGAGAAATCTTGGTTTCAAGTGCTACGAGACCAACACAAACTGATCTTAGTACACACACACCAAACTGTTGACCCATAATATAACTAGAAGTCCAGGGGTGGTTCTAGCTACAGGTCCAGCTGGATTTAGGGGTTTAAGTAACGCTACCTACCTTCCTCTCCTGGAAGTTCTGGTTGTGCTGACTTTATCCTCAGGCAGGTTCTTCCCACACAGTGGCATTTTGGGCAGCACAGGCCATAAATTTACATTGTGCTGGTTTAATCTCAAGGAAGCGCCTTTCTCCTGATTTCACAGGACCATCATGAGTCACATACACACCTGTTAACCAATCACTGTGTCAGGGAGAGTAAATCCACTAATTCACCAGATCCGGGTTATGTGCCCATCCACCTCTGGAGCACAGGGGAGTGGAACCCCAAAGTAAACTCAAGATTCTGTTCCAGAAAGAAGCTAAAATAAATGCAAGCTGGACAAGTAAAACCAAGAGAGGTCCAGTGAAGATGAAGAGTCAATAAAGTATTAGAGGTGATGAATGACAAGATAAGAGTTTCACTTTCAGATGATTAATCTGGAAGTAGATTGCAGGATGGATTTGGGGGCGGGGAAGTCTGAGGCTATGAAGACCAGTTGGAAGACGACTACAATTATCTAGGTAAACATGTGAATTTAGGAATGGGAAAGAAAGGGCTGGAATGAGAAGTTATTATAGAAATAAATTGTTATGGATCACTCACATCAAGAAGATATAAGCAAAAGGTATTAGGTGAGAGGAAAGTTGCCCAGTTAATAAGAATGTGGGAGAATGCCCCTCTCAGAAGCTAAGACCCAATCCATCAAATGGAGTTGTGAGATATCCTACTGATTTACTACTATGTTCTTCCCCTCTCAGGTAAACTCCCAGTCTTAAAAATTACGGTCACTCCTCAAATGTCTTCTGATACCTTCAGATCTATTTGGAAAAATAGCAGGAAATCTAGGATTACCAGTAAAAAGAAGAAGAAGGTATGCTCTTGGATGTCTGTGTCTGTGAGTTGCAGCCACCAGGGGAGTGTGTGGATGGACCCTGGGCACTAAATTGGGGTAGGTGCGACCCCCAGCAGATTTTGCACTTGATAAAATCATGAGAATTTTGGTTCTAGGTAACAGTATCCCAAACCATCAGTCCATCCTAATGGATGATTATATCAAAGGACAAGTAGTATGAAAAAACATAGTTCCCTCAAAGGTTGGTGCAAACCTTGTCTCTTCTCTTCAACTTTCCCACCCTCCCCTCCCCCCACAATCCTGGTACCTGTTAGCTTATTGTGGATTTGAAATGGTGAATTTACCTGAACTATTTATGAAACATGTGGGATCTATTAGGTGGTAGTGCTTTATATATGTTCACTCTCTATTGTATGAAGTTGAACTTCCTTTTTTCTTTTTATAATTTATGAATTTTGTGTTCATTATTTCACAGGGTAAAAACTGAATATGGATGTTCTATATCTTTATGGATGCTCTCTGTTTCCATGGCCAAGTGGACATGTGTAGAAAGATCTTGTTTGTTCTATAATAAGAGTTTTCACTGGAGGAGCACCTGGGTGGCTCAGTGGGTTAAGCCTCTGCCTTCATGCTCAGGTCATGATCTCAAGGTCCTGGGAACGAGCCCCGTGTCTTGTCGGGCTTGCTGCTCAGCGGGGAGCCTGCTTCCTCCTGTCTCTCACTCTCTGCCTGCCTCTTTGCCTCTTGTGATCTCTGTCTGTCAAATAAATAAACAAAATCTTTAAGAAAAAAAAAGTTTTCACTGGAGTCAAGCCCCTTTCATGTTCTAAAATTTGATGACTCATTTATGAAAGTTCAAAGTAGTGTTAACCCTATTATGCTCGTCATTTTTTAAAATGTGGGTTTCCCAGTTGGCCTTAGTAAAAATAGGTAGAATTCTTCTCTGGTGCTTCTCAAGTGCATGTGAAATTTAAAAGTTGAAGGAAGTCATGATCTTTATCTAAGAAACATTCTTCTTTCATAAGTATATCTATAGTTGGGAACAATAAGAATATTTGAAAATAACCACTTTCTGAAAGATGACACCCCCCCCAAATGGGGATCTTCCACAAATGAGGAAACTTCTAATCACTTTAATCACCGCCCCCTCCACCCCAAATGAAGATGTCTGCTCCATGGGAAAGAGAAGAGGTGTGGTTGACCGATGTATGGATGATAAATTGGATTAGCTGGAAGTTATATGCCATGACAATATGGTGCAGGGATGGAAACTGTGGACTGGGGAAAGAAATGGGCTGGAATTCTCTGTGGAAAACTGCTGCTTTCCAGGTGTGTAACGTTGGCCACCTCGGTTAACCTCACTGAGCCTCAGTTCTCCCTGATAAGATACAGATGGAATAGCACCTGTCTCATATGGTGAGCCCTGAATGAGATGACACATGTCAAGCATTTTTGGACAATATTGTTTCATGGTAGTGCATGCTCAAATATAAATATTAGTGGCAGTTATGGTTGATGTTAGAATTGAGTGACTCCAGTTATTTCACTTGGGAAAGCTACACAAGAAAAATAAAAAAGAAGAAGAAAAGACTTAAGACCTTTCCATTTTGAAGTAAAAAACAAAACAAAACAACCCACATGAAAAGCCAGTCTGTTGGGGTGCCTGGCTGGCACAGTCAGTAGAGAATGTGACTCTTGATCTCAGTGTTTTGAGTTCAAGCCCCATGATGGGTGTGGAGCCTACTCAAAATAAAAAGTAAAAAAAAAGACCTGTACCCCTGAAACAAATAATACATTATATGTTAATAAAAAATAAAGAATTGAATGTATATTTTTTAAAAAAGCAAGACTGTCATTCATACTATGTACAAATCAAGTTCTGGCAAATCTGTGGAACCAAACTATCTGTGAAAGTGAGGATGTTTATAGTAAATTGTGTTCAACCTTTAATATCTTATTATCTAGCTAGGAAGACAGGATCCTCGCATGTTAAAAGTAAACAATAACAGAGTATGAGAATTGAAATAAGATAACATCTTCAGAACTTGTATATCCAATGTGTGAGGCCTCCTGAGAAATTGTACCTGCTTTAAAAAAAAAAAAAGGACCTTTTTGAAATTTGCCACAGACATCCTCTCTGTGGGAGTGTAAAATCTGTGTGCCTCTTTACAAGTCTTTTGACATGGTCTATCAAAGTGAAAAATACATAACTTTTGACCTAGGTATTTGAGAAATTTATTTTACAAATATTCTCTCACACATGTGTAAGCAAATACTTATAATGATGTTTAATGCAGCACTGTTTGTTATACATTGGAAACAGCTTAACATCTCTCAAAGGATTCTCGGGGAAATAAATCACAGGGAATGTATGTGGTGTAATACCTTGCAGCATCAACAATAATGTGGATAAGGGAGGGCTTCTGTAGAAAGCTGTCCTACTCATACTATTAAACAAAAAGAGCAGGCTGGAGGGGCATCTGGCTGGCTCAGTCAGTGGAGCAGCCAACTCTTGATCTCAGGGTCATGAGTTTGAGCCCCATGTTGGGTGTGGAGATTACTTATAAAAAAAACGTTTTTTTAAAAGCAGGCTAGAGAATAATGTGTGTAAAAAAACTCATATGAAGATGCATTGATATAATAGGAGCCAGCGGGGCGCCTGGGTGGCTCAGTGGGTTAAAGCCTCTGCCTTCGACTCCGGTCATGATCCCAGGATCCTGGGATCGAGCCCTACATTAGGCTCTCTGCTCAACGGGGTGCCTGTTTCCTCCTTTCTCTCTCTCTGCCTGCCTCTCCGCCTACTTGTGATCTCTGTGTGTCAAATAAATAATAAATAAAATCTTTAAAAAAAATAATATGAGCCAGCAATCCCATTTCTGGGTGTATACCCAAAAGAAGTGAAAGCAAGATTATGAAGAGATATTTGTATACTCAAGTTCACAGTGACATTATTCACAATATTCAAAAGGTGCAAGCAACCCTGATGTCCACTGACAGATAAATGGATAAGCAAAGTGTGGTCTATCCACACAGTGCAGTATTATTTGGCCTTAAAAAGGAAGGAAATTCTGACGCATGCTGCAACACAGATGAAACTCCAAGGCACTGTGCTAAAGTGAAATAAAACAGTTACAAAAAGACAAATACTGAATGATTCTACTTATATGAGGTACCTAGGGTAATCAAACTCAGAAACAAAGAGTGATGGTTGCCGGGAAAGAAGGGGAGATAGAAAGTATAGTTTTGGTTTTGGAAAATGAAATAGTTCTGGAAAGTGTTTGCATAACAATGTAAATGTCCTGGGGTACCTGGGTGTCTTAGTCAGTTAGGCATCTGACTCTTGATCTCAGCTTAAGTCTTGATCTCAGGGTCATGAGTCCAAGCCCTGTGTTGGGCTCCATGCTGGGTGTGGAGCCCACTTTAAAACAAAACAAAACAAAAACAACATAAATACACTTAATACTACTGAACTCTGCACTGAAAATGGTGGCAAACTTCATTATGTATATTTTATCGCAATTAAAAATTTTTAGGGGCACCTGACTGGCTCAGTCAGTAGAGCCTGTGACTCTTAACCTCAGGGTTGTAAGTTGGAGCCCCACCTTGGGTGTAGAGATTACTTAAAAGTAAAATCTTTTAAAAAATTTTTAATGATTTTAATGTGTCTGTTTGTATATATGTAGAAACTTCTGAGAGTATTAACAACACTTGCTTTTTTTATTGCATACACATTTTACTATTTTAACATTTTTATAATTTATGAGCTGTCAATTTTAAAAACTTGAAATTATTCAATAAACATCAGTAGCAGCACTTTTTCCTTGCTATGTGCCCCAGTGCCAAAAGAGTGGAAGAAATACAGTAAGTGCCGTTATTTCCTGGAAGTATTAGAATATATATTGGCAAAGAGCGAAGATGAGTAAGTTTTCTCTAAGTGCAGAGAGCAATCCAGCTGGAGCAGGTAGGGGAAGTTCTTTCCAGTTTCAGAGATGTTGAAGTGTGACAAGAGGAGGCATCCTCTAGGCTTTCATCCTTTCATCTGACTTTCTCTCCTTTTCTCTTACAAACTGGCAAGTTCCCAACAACTTGAAGTGCATTTTCTCCTCGTCTGGTTCCGGCCTCCCTCCTTTATTAGATATCTCACATTTAGAACCATCCCTATAGTCAGATGTGTGGTCGTTTAATATGAACAGAACATGTTCATCTGGGTTTGTCCATAGGAATTTTATCTGGCTCTTCAACTTAGTGCGGTGAGATTGACATCCGCCACCAGTACAGCTGCTCTGCTCTGCCTGACAGCTTGGACAGGTGTGCCTCTTCACTCATATCCTGGGCTTGAGGGCCTCCCATGAGGAGTCTAGTCTCTTCCGTGAGGCTTTTCCTCATGGCATCAGTCCTCAGGGATATCTCTGTCCCTCACATCACTGAATATTCCACTCAACAAGCAGCGCACATAGCATCTAGCCAAATGTGACCCTGTGTCCATATTTCTATTTTTACATTTGTATGCATGCTTGTCCTCTGCCCAACTACTTGAGTTTGGCCTGGCATGAGGACACGAGGGGAGGCTGAGAGGCCCAAGAAGAAGAGATGGGAGGCTTGGAATCCCAAACCCGACACTACAGGTGTCCACCACTAGGTGGTGGTGGTAATCAGTCATCTCCTAAGGCAATCGGTGCCTCAACTTTCTTATCTTTTAAAAATGAAGATGTTGTCTGCTTTGCTTGAGAGAACAGAAGAACATGACCCCAGGCCAGCAATAGAACAACCCAGATTTCATAATTGTCACCGTCACATAATAGCGGTGTTACTCGTACATATAAAAGGAGGTGGTTAAACTACATCAGAGGTTCTCAGAGCGTGGGCCCCTGAGTTCTAGGCATCCTTTCAGGGGACCAACAGGTCGGAACTATTTGCATGCCAACATTCGGAGCTATTTCCCTCTTCTCACTCTTTAGGAGTGTACAGGGGCGTTTTCCAGAAGCTACATTATATGCGGCACCATCGCTCTAATAACTTGTAATGAGTTTATTACTGTTACTTTTAAAATTGAGATATTTCTCTCAAGGTAAATTTCTTAAAAAGCAAACATCTACATCTTACATAAAGGCTTTTGAAGATCCTCTAGTTTTTAAGTTTAACGGAGTGCAAAGTTTAAGAACCACTGAACCAGGTTTCTCAGAAGACCTTGGGAGGTCAGACGTTTCCTAGATACGGAGGACAGGGGATCTTGCACAGACAAGGTCCCTGCTCTGATTGAGTTTACGGGGGGGGGGGGGGGGGGGGGGGG